CTTCAATATGCAGTTACCAGCATTTTCATACTTTCTACCTTGTGGCTTTTTTTTTTAAAGAAAAAAACTTCAACTATCTCCAGAAACTGCCCGAAAAATCGAATGTTTCTTTTTTTTATTAAGGCACTGGTTCAACATGGATTACTAGTTCTGACAATTTCCCTTCCTATCACAATGTCATCTGGTTGGAGCAAGAGATTCTTAGAGACATGGCGGGGGAGGGGGTCAACAGTTGGGAAATTAAGTCTTCCATTTCAGAAACACCTGTCTATGCCGATACTGAAGATGGCTTGATTCTCGTTGAATAGCTGCAAGGACTGGTCACCTTCACTAGTATTCAAAATGAAAAAAGTGGTTTGAAATGTCACTAATTTAGATGGAAGATTCCTGTACAATATGTCGTCCTCCTGTCCTGTCCGCTGGTAAGCCATTCTTTCATCTGGTGCATTATCTATTACTGAAAAGCTAGCAATTTCTGAATACCACAATGACTCTAACATTCATTTCCAAAATTCAAATGACGTGTGCTAGGAGTTCACATACAGAACAGGATGTATGTTTAATGGGTCCTCACTCGTCTACCAAGAGAGTCAATTCACTAACTTCTACATTACTGGGATCTTGTGGTTGGTTGGCTTGCCAAGCTGGTTGTTAGTTCGCAGACGTTTCATTACCCTGCTGGGTAACATCAGTGCAGCCTCCGATGAAGTGCTGTTGTGTTTTCCCGCCTGGTATTTAAACTCTGGGGTCTGTTGGAATTGGTTACCTCATTTCCAGTTTTTCTTCACAGTGGTGTATATATATAGTGTCTAATCCTGCGTGTTTATTGATGGTCTTCTTGGCAGAGAACCAGGTCTCTAGAAATTCCCGTGCTGGTCTCTGTTTGGCCTATCCTAGGATGCTGATGTTATCCCAATCGAACTGGTGGTTCTCCTTATCCGTGTGAACGGAGGCGAGTGAGTATTGGTCGTGTCTTTTTCTTGCTAGTTGTGTTCATGTATTCTTGTGGCCAGTTTCCTTCCTGTCTGTCCAATGTAATGTTTGTCGCAATCCTTGCATGGGATCTTGTATATCATGTTGGTTCTGTCCATAGTGGGTAAAGGGTCTTTGATTCAAGTTAGTGGTTGACGTAGGTTTGTGTGCCACTCTGATGCCCAATGGTCATAGGAGTTTTGTGGTCAGTTTGGATATGTTCTCGATGTACGGTAACGTGACAAGTGTGTCAGGCCATACTGTATCTTCCTATTATTGTTTGTGTGATAGGCATTGTCGGACCCAGCTGTTTGGGTATCCGTTGTCCTTAAAAACTTGATGGAGGTATCCTTCTTCATTTTGGCATAGTTCTGGATTGCTGTTGCTTGTTTAAATAGAGGAGACACATCAACTAATAAACAACACTCTCACCAGCATCAAATTCCCCAATGGAAGAAGAAAACAATGAACAGCTCCCATTCCTGAACACCATGATAGAACACAGGGCCAACGGGGAATTTCTGATGAAGCTTTTTCTCAGAGTGGGGGACTCCATTACTAGGGGTCACGATTTCAAGGTGAGGGGGGAAAAGTTTAAGGGACATATGTATGGAAAGTTCTTTACGCAGAGGGTGGTGGGTGCCTGGAACGCGTTGCCAGCGGAGGTGGTAGAGGCAGGCACGATAGTGTCATTTGAGATATATCTAGACAGATACATGAATGGGCAGGGAGCAGAGGGATGCAGATCCTTGGAAAATAGGCGACAGGTTTAGATAGAGGATCTGGATCGGTGCAGGCTTGGAGGGCCAAAGGGCCTGTTCCTGTGCTGTAATTTTCTTTGTTCTTCTTTGTACACAGAAAGGCCACAAACACTGATCAAGTCCTGAATTTCAACAGTAACCACCCAAACACCCACAAGACAGAGTTGAATGAAAACACTATTTAAACGAACCAACTCGGTGAACGAACCAACCACAGCATCCACAACCTGAGCTACAAATCTACCCAAGAACCTTACTGGGATCTTGACTTCAAACATTTGACATTAGTCTAAAGCACCTGAACTGAAGTGACGCATAAAATGGGCAATAAATGCTGACTCAGCCAACGAAGCCAACATGCCATGAGTGGATAATAAGGAATAGATAAACCATTAGAAACTTACATTTGATAGTGAAATAGTCAAAAAACAATAGACACACTGTAAAACTAGGAATGGAAACTAACATCAATTGAATCTTAATAGGGAAAATAAATGAACAGTAAAAAAAAATTGCATGTGATTGACTTCATTTCTAAATTTCAGGTGTGTGCGCTTTGCTCATGTTGTAATTCTGTCCTTGCTCTCTTGCACCGTTGCATTTGGGTAAAATTACATTTGAAATGAGCAAAAGCAAAAATTGCTGGAGAAAGTTAACAGGTCTGGCAGCATCTGTGGAGAGGAAGAGTTAATGTTTCAAGCTCACTAATCCTTCAGAAGTGTACTGTGGAAAAAAAATGGGTGGCACGGGGGCTCAGTGGTTAGCAGTGCTGCCTCACAGTGCCAAGCACCTAGGTTCAATTCCACCCTTGGGTGACTGTCCGTGTGGAGTCTGCATGTTCTCCCAGTGTCTGCATGGATTTCCTCCAGGTGCTCCAGTTTCCTGCCACTGTCCAAAGATGAGTAGGCTAGGTGGATTGGCCATGCTAAGTTGCCCATAGTGTCCAGGGATCTGTAGATTAGAGGTGTTAGCCATGGGAAATGCAGGGTTACAAGGAAAGGTTAGGGGGATGGGGATGGGTCCGTGCGGGATGCTCTGAGTGTCAGTGAGGCTTGTTTTCACACTGTAGCGATTCTGTGGGAAAAAGAAAGACTTAGTTATTACCTCTCCACAGATGCTGCCAGACCTGCTGACTTTCTTCAATAATTTTGATCTTTGTTTCAGCTCTCCAACATCTGCAAATTTATTTTACTTATACATCTACTTTGGTTAGGCATAATTACTAGAACCATTAGGAACTGGTACAGACATATCTGTTCCCTCACAGAGGGGGTAGGACTTGTCTTCATTCAGATTGAAAAATACATTGGTAGGTTGGGCAGAATCAATGTAACAACATTATTCTCTCTAGCACTATTAACTGATACAACTTTATTCTTGGATAGGCAATTGAAATTCCTAGAAATTCAGTCACTTGAGGGAAGCAACGGCCTAGTGGCATTACTGCTAGACTGTTAATCCAAAGACTCAAGTAACATTCTCGGGACCTGGCAGCCTCGGTAGATGATGGAATTTGAATTCAATAAAACCTGGAATTAAGAGTTTAATGACAACCACGAATCTATTGTCGATTGCCAGAAAAACCCATATGGTTTACTAATGTCTTTTAGGGAAGTAAACTGCCATCCTTATTGGGTCTGGCCTACATGTGACTTCTGACCTACAGCAATATGGCTAACTTTTAACTGTCCTCTGGACAATTAGGGATGGACAATATATGCTGGCATGGCTAGTGGCACCCTCATCCCATGAATGAACCCTTGCTAACAAACAAGTGCATAAAGTACATATTTGTTGCTTTCTATTCTAAATTGCACGATTGTACTAATTTCTGCACTGAAATCCACTGGTTAATATTTAAACACTTGATTTTTCTGAATATGGTTTATCTAACATATATCAAGTAAATTCACGTCAGCAATTCTCAAGCATGTGGTCCTTTGATAGTTGTTGACAAATGAAGTCAATAAGACAAACCTGGTAAGAGCCCGAGGAAGCCATTCCAGTCACTGCATCCCGATTAGAATTTTTCCCCAACCTACTTTGTTACTGCTTGGCAATGATTTTTTTTTTTTTTTTAAAAAGTTCAAAAACATAAAAGTTATTGAATAACTTATCTTTAAAAAGAATTGAGCAAAGAGACCTAGGGTGCAGGTGCATGGCTCCTTGAAAGTAGAGTCATAAGTAGATAGGATGGTGAGGGTGGGATATGGCATGCTTGCCTTCATTGATTAGTGCATTAAGAATAGGAGTTGGCATATCATATTGCAGCTGTATAGGATGCTGGTGAGGCCACTTTTGGAGTACTGCATTCAGTTCTGGTCTCCCAGCCATAGAAAGAATGGTGTGAACTTGAAAGGATTCAGAAAGGATTTACAAGGATGTTGCTGGGATTGGAGGGTTTGAGCTACAGGGACAGGCTTAACAGGCTGGGGCTTTTCTTTCCCCCAGAGCGTCAGAGGCTGAGGGATGACTGTACAGAAGTTTATAAAATCATGAGGGACGTGGCAAGGGTGAATAGCCAAGGTCTTTTTCCCAGGGTAGGGGAGTCCAAAACTGGAGGGCAAAGGTTTAAAGTTAGTGGGGGGAAATTTAAAAGAGGTTTGAGGGGCAACCTCTCTTCCCCAGCCCCCTACCGCAACAACAGAGGGTGGTACACGTATGGAACAAGCTGCCAGAGGTGGTGGAGGAAGCAGGTACAGTTATAAAACTTTTAAAAGGCATCTGGATGGGTACATGAACGGGAAAAGGTTGAGGGGGTTATGGGCCAAGTGCTGGCAAATGGGGTCAGTTTAGGTTATCTGGTCTGTGCGGACAAGTTGGACCAAAAGCTAAGTTTCCATGCAGTATATCTCTATAACCCCATGATTAGAAACACAAAATAGGAGCAGTAGCACATTCAGCCCTTCAGGGCTGTTCTGCCATTCAGAACCCTGTTTCAACTCTCTCACCATACCCTTTGATCCCTGCAGCAACAGGAAATGCATCTAACTCTTCCTTAAAAATCTAGCCATAACCATTTTTATTTAAACCAAATCTCTTGCAGAGTACATTATGCTGACATACTTAAAAGCTATCAGTAATGCATCCTTGTGCACATTAATGTTCATACATTTCTTGCTAAAGGCATCAAAGTGCCCTAACAAAGAACATTTTGCCAAATGACAACAGTTGCAATCTTAGCAACTCGGAAATGACTTGTACTCTAAAATGGATTAGAGGTATTAATGTATGTATTATGAAATCCATTATAAAATTTTATCTTACCATTTCTCCTCTTCTGTTTATTTGCTTACTTCTAGTTGCAACTTTCCTGAAAATTATGAAAAAAAAAGGGCAGGAAAGTTTGGCAAGAACCAGAATACAGGTTATTCACATTATAGTCTTTCCAGATGCATTCAAAATATCACACTTTAACGTGTTGAGTATCAAATTAAAGCTCAGTCAGAGGTAGTAAGAACTGCCAATGCTGAAGTCTGAGATAACACCGTTTGGAGCTGGAGGAACACAGCAGGCCAGGCAGCATCAGAGGTGCAAAAAAGCTGACGTTTCAGGTCGGGATCCTTCTTCTGAAGGGTCGCAACCCGAAACGTCTGCTTTCCTGCTCCTCTGATGCTGCCTGGTCTGCTGTGTTCCTCCAGCTCCACACTTATCTAAATTAAAGCTCAGTCTGTTTTTCACTTTCAGAACCTGGCCCCTTTTAGGGCAGAAGATAATCCACATACATTTTAGTCTACAATTAACCCCTATTTTCAAGGCACACATGCAAGTCTGTGCTCAGAATGAAAAAAGGGTCAGGTTACCCAAATTGATGGACTGTTATTCAGGATAGCGAGAACTCTGCTTTAGTATCAAGGCTATCAAAGACATCAGTACTGTTAGCAAGAAGTGACCAGCTTCCATAAAATGAGAAAAAAATTGTGATCTAGGTGAGGTGACTTAGGACAGTGGGAGGTCTTCAGTAAAAAGGAACTAAGAACTGCTGATGCTGGAAATCAGCTAAAATAAACATGGATTCCTAGAAAAACTCAGGCCTGGCAGCATTTGTAGAGAGAAAGAACATTAATCCAAAATGGTCACTAAAAAAGGTCACAGATAGTTTAGTGAGATTTGATTTGCACTGTATTAGTAAAGTTCCAAAGAACAGTCACTGGACCCGTAACGTTAATTCCACTTTCTCTCTACAGATGCTGTCAGACCGGAGTTTTTCCCAGATTTTTGTGTTGATTCATTGTTCCAGAGTGCCAGATTATCAGCTACCTACTAGACCATATAACCATTTCGCAAAAATTACGAGATCTTCACCCGTATAACTCACACCAACTGTTAACACACTGCAAGAAACTTATGTCTAACTGAAATGTCTTTTACAATCTCACACCAGTGCCCAATTCTCGTGCTGCCTTGTAGTTTCCAAAAGCAAAATTTCATAGAATTCACTTCACAGAAATAAGCCATGTGATCCCAGATAACAAGGTATAGAGCTGGATGAACACAGCAGGCCAAGCAGCATCAAAGGAGCAGGAAAGCTGACATTTTAGGCCTAGACCCTTCTTCAGAAATGGGGGAGAGGAAGGGGATTCTGAAATAAATAGGGAGAGAGGGGGAGGCGGATAGAAGATGGATAAAGGAGAAGATAGGTGGAGAGGAGACAGACAGGTCAAAGAGGCGGGGGTGGAGCCAGTAAAGGTGAGTGTAGGTGGGGAGTTAGGGAGGGGATAGGTCAGTCCAGGGAGAACGGACAGGTCAAGGGGGTGGGATGAGGCTAGTAGGTAGGAGATGGGTGTGGGGCTGGAGGTGGGAGAAAGACAGGTGGGAACAAGCTGGGCTGGTTTTGGGATGTGGTTGGGGGAGGGGAGATTTTGAAGCTTGTGAAGCCCACATTGATACCATTGAGCTGCAGGGTTCCCAAGCGAAATGAGGTGCTGTGCCTGCAACCTTTGGGTGGCATCGTTGTGGCACTGCAGGAGGCCCAAAATGGACATGTCATCTAAGGAGTGGGAGGGGGAGTTGGAATGGTTCGCGACTGGGAGGTGCAGTTGTTTGTTGCGAACCAAGCATAGGTGTTCCACAAAGCGGTCCCCAAGCCTCCGCTTGGTTTCCCCGATGTAGAGGAGGCCACATCTGGAACAGCGGATACAGTGTACCACATTAGCAGATGTGCAGGTGAACTAACTCCACCCATCTTCTCCTTTATCCATCTTCCATCCACCTCCCCCTCTCTCCCTATTTATTTCAGAATCCCCTTCCCCTCCCCCATTTCTGAAGGAAGGTCTAGGCCCGAAATGTCAGTTTTCCTGCTCCTCTGATGCTGCTTGGCCTGCTGTGTTCATCCAGCTCTACACCTTGTTATCTCAGATTCTCCAGCATCTGCAGTTCCTACTACCCATGTGATCCCAACTGTTTGGGCCAGTATTAATATTACATATGTTAATATTCCAAATGCATGACTTCTATTACAATTACCTCTGTCCACACTGCATTTTATTCTAATTCCTTCCTACCTCATTTTATATCGAGTCGTTCCCTAAATGTGTCAAGGCTAGATTCTTAAAAATCACATGGCAGTGAGCTCTATTACAGTGTAAATCAAGACCTCAAATTTTAGTAACGGTTTTGGATTCATATCCTTTTGTTGCAATTTACTTGTTAACAAAACAATCTCATAGGCGTGAAGCAGCTGTGACCATACGCATACAACATTGGCTAGGTGAATGAAAGTAGAGTGCTGTAGTGCACATTTGTTAATTGAATTGAAGAGACATATTCAGCAGTGTTCTACAGGGTAACAGTTCCTAATATGTATTAATGATCTGAACCCGAATACAGGAACTTAAGTGTCTAGGTTTGCTGTTGACATCACTCAAATCTAACAATGAGATTTAGAGCAACAAGGTAGTCAAAAGGGCATACATCTAGCAGATTAAATTTAGTGCAGAAAAATTGTAATTTGATTTTGAAGGGAGGAAAACAAAAAAAAAAAAATACAATTACTAAAAGGGAGTGCAGGAAGACAGAGATCTGGACTTTACACAAAAATCTTTGTAAAGGGTAGCAGGACAAAGCAATAAGACAATTGGGGTAAAGAAAACACACAGGACTTAGAGTACAAATTTAGTACTGCTCAATAAAACCGAAAGACATTCTGTAAAAGCTTATACTCATCACGGCACATCCAAGAATACCAAATTTCCAAGGGAGAAGCAATTTATATTATACGAGGAAAAGGACGGTCACTAGTTTCAAGTCAAATCTTGAGGGTTGAGGAATTGCCATGGAGAACACCAGCATATAACATACCCCCACTTTTGTTTAATTCAAAAAGAAATGCAGGTTGCTGTTAAAGCCTCATTCTCAATTGTTCCATCTAGATGAGCGATCTAGAAACGTAGTAAAGTTGACTCGAGTCATTCAGATGCCGGAATCTACTTTTCACATCAAGTGGCTAACTTTACGGATCTTTCATCCAATGATTGAGTTAGATCCACACAAATTCTTAATGAGCCATGTTATAGATCAGACCAAAACCCCTTCAAATATACTAAGGGGATGCTTTTTCAATAAGATTACTATTAGTGTCAAGGCTACTATTAATCTTATTGAAAAGGCAAGTGTAGGGTGCTAGAATTACATCTGGAACTATCAGTCACGTTGCTTGTATTTTAACTGGGTATAAGAATAAAGTGCATTTTGCTTAAAGCCAGGTGAAGAATTTTATAACTTTAACTATATTAGAAAATTTAATAGAATAATAGATATAACTACGTAACAGCAACTGTTTCAACATAGTAACATCCTTTAAACACACCCTTGGCAAAAGGCAAAAGCAATAAAATAGATTATCTCACATGCAATGTTTCTCCGGTCCAAGAGAAAAAAAAAAAAAAAAGAGAACATTCTGGCAGAAAGAGAGCTTCCACAACCAACTTCAAAACTTCAACAATTACTGAAAGCTAAACTAAAACCCTGGTTCTGTGGGAGTCTGACTCTGCCCATTCACACTGCTTCTATTGTTCTGACTTAGAAAACTGTTTATCGTCTTAGAAATGTCAACTCTGCACCGGTCTCAAAACCTCTTTCCAAAAAAAGGACAAAATACACCTCAAAGCCAGAGAGTCATCACAGCTCCCCCTTCAGAAAAAAATGAACTATTGATATAGAGACGGCTTCATTTTTGAAAAACCTTCAGACTTGTGCTATTAGTACACTACACAACACATATTACATTGACCGAATGCAATGCAAACATTCAATACTACAGTCCATTCCAGTCAGTTTCTTCTGCCAAACATCTTTGTCCTCCTCCAAAGTCGTGAAAACACATCAATTACGCTCTCTTTTCCTAATCCATTTAATTTAAATTAAATGGCTGTAATAATAAACTCCACCTAAACAGCTTGGTATTTTTATGTTTTTTTTCCAAAAACATTACGGACTTATGATCAGTACTTTACTGGCAACATAAATGTTGAAATGTCGCAATGCCAACACCAAACTCAAGATCTCCTTCTCAATTGTGAAATATTTCTGTTAATAAATATTAATAAATAAATAATAAATAAATTTTCTGGAAAAATACCCAATAGGTCTTTAGAAACACAGAAACATAGAAAATAAGTGTAGGAGTAGGTCGTTCAGTCCTTTGAGACTGTACCACCATTCAGTATGATCATGTAATTTCAGAATCCCACTCCCGCTTTCTCGCTATAACCCTTGATTCCTTTAGCCACAAGGGCAACGTCCAGCTCCCTCTTGAATATATCTAATGAACTGGTCCTCACAGCTTTCTCTGGTGAAAAATTCCACAGGTTCTCAACTCCGGAGTGAAGAAATTCTTCCTCATCTCAGTCCTGAATGGCTTACTTTTTTGTCCTTAGGCTGCGACCCCTAGTTCTAGGCTTGCCTAACATCAGGAACTTTCTTTCTACATCTCGCCTGTTCAGTCCCATCAGGATTGTGTGTGTTTGAGATCCTCACTCATTCTTCTAAATTCCAGCAAATACCAGCCCAGTCAATCCAGGCTTTCATATGTCAGTCCTGCCATCGCGGGAATCAGTCTGATGAACCTTTGCCGGACTCCCATGATAGCAAGAATGCCCTCCCTTAGACCAGGAGACCAAAACTGCATATAATACTCAATGTGTGGCCTCACCAAGAGCCTGTATAACTAAGCACAAGGATGTTTTGCTGTATAGTCAAATCCTCTTGCTCTGAAGTTCAGCATGCCATTAACTTTCCTCACTGCCTGCTGCACCTGCATGCACTTCAGGAACTGTTCCACCATGACACCCATGGCTCAATGCACATCACATG